TCACTATGTAAACCAGACTGGCCTGAAACTCACAGAGACCCTCAGGTATCTGCCTCCCTAGTGCTGAGATTAGAGGTATGTACCATATGCCCAGCCTTAACATGATTCTTAAGTTATTTTAAATAGTTCAAGACATCCAAGGGCTCAGCAGACTATATGCCTAATATGCACAGTGGTGCACACTTATAATCATAGCAATCAGGAGACAGAGGCAGGAGGATGAGAAGTACCAAGGTCATCCTTGGCTACATAGTGATTTCCAGGCCAGCCTGTGCTTTGGGAGACCCTGTGTCTCTCAAAAAAAAAAAAAAAAAAAAAACCTCACGTAAAACATTACTAAACATTACTTTATTCCTAGTAAAGCTGAGAGTGTATTCTCTGAGATCAGAAAGATATGAATTCAGCAGGGCAGCCCTGGTTACTTCATGTTCCTCCAAAGCATTTAGTTCTACTAGTCAATGAACAGTTTGTTTGGCATACAGGAGCTATCCAACAGAGGTCTATGGATGAGAAATATTTATGATTGGGGTTCACTCTGGCTGTAGAAAGACTGAGAGTCCACTATCAAACAGGAACTTAAGGGTTCCTGATGTACTTGAATTTCCTCTCAAGTCTGACATCTTTCAGAAAGGAAAGCACGTTCATTTATGCTTCCATCTTAGACCGGGGCTGAAGTCCTCACAAGGCGGGGCTTCTCCTCACTGTCATCTATCCTCACATGCCTCCCTTTAGCTAAAAACAGGAACACACAGGAACCAATCAAAAATGGAGTTCAAGGATAAGCAAATTATACCACCCGTCATCAAGAATTCTTGGTCAAGTCCAGGAATACAGCCCATGACGAGCATGCACATCACTGATTCTGAGTGGGGCCTCACCTAAGGTTCCTAGAACAGTCTGTCTGTGAGAAGAGCCTGTCGTGGGCCAGGCACTGCCAAAGGACAGGAACAAGCAAGGACATGAGAAGCAGCTTGGACTCACCTGAGTAAATGTGATAGGTTTGTCCCTAGAAATATAATCTGCATATTTACAAGTAAACATTCCACAATCACTCCCATTCAACTGTTGAGGAATCTCCTAAAACAAAACAAACAGAAAGGAGGAAGAGGTAAAATATTACATACATACCCTTAGTCTCTCTCTAAACATCACTGTGGAAAAACAGTACGACAAAGGTGGATAAATCTGGTGTTGCACACACACAGATGCACACACAAACACAATCACTCTTACTCTTTGTGGTATAAAAACCCTAATCATGACAGCATATGAGGCCCCATAGAAACATCTGACAGAAAAAAGAAGTAAAGCAAGTGAGAGTTCTAAGTTCTGCGGACTAACACTACTGGGACCGGGCCTCACCATTACAATAACCAGGAAAAGTCACAAACTTTACCCTGTGGGAGACCAATCAGAATTGAGACAAACAAGCACTAAATGCTCTAGAACATGAAGGACAGCTTACACAATCTGTCTATAGATTGCCAGTTTCCTTGCAGCAAATGCCAGTACCAGTCACTGTTTGATACAACTGAGCGCAACGCTCTCCCTGGTCCAATAGCTGTGTCGGAACCGATGGGAAGTCCAAGCTCGAGCTTGCAATAAAGGTTCTTTGCTTTTGCATGTGAACTCTGACTCCTGGTGGTCTCTGGGGGCTCATGACACAGGCATAACAAATACTGCAGAGGTTACACGGTTTTAACAACCAGAACAACTGCCGGCTGCTTAGGATCCCTAAAGTTTCAAGTGAGATGAGAAAACCATCTCAGAGGTTTTAACCAACTAGGATCACTCCTTGAGTTATGTCCCTGAGGCAGAAACAACTAGGAGCAAGCAGCTCTAGGAACATCAGAAGATAAACTCATATGGAAAAAGCTGTGTGCCAAGGTCTGTATCATCCCCATCTTGGCTTGACATGACTGTGGCCATCTTGAAATGTGACCCTAACTGAGCCTGAGTTGAACCTGGTCAGTTTCCCCAGCATATAGTTTCCTAGTATACTGTGGCAGGTAAAACCATTGAAGTGGTATGTATGGGAGCTGCAGGACCAGACTTTGACACTGAGAATACACAGAATGTGCCTTTAGTCTCTAATATTAGTTCAAGAAAAAAAAACAGAAAATTATTGTTAGATGGGGCCATTTCTATTGTGACCTAACCTTCTGAGCCAATCAGAGGTAGCCACTGGGCCTGCTGCCACTTTGTGCCATGCTTCTGTCCACATGGACTATAAGCTGCAGTCTGTAGTCAGGGGTCTGCCTGCCTTTGATCTCACAGTACCCTGGGTCCCATTTTCAGACACGAGACTGGACTTTCCCAAAACAGTTTATATTTAAAGCAAGATAAAAGACAAGAAGCAACTATCTTGGCTATACTGAATGGCTATAGGTTCAGAAATAGGCCACTTAAATATAAGCTGGGGCTGGAAAGATGGCTCAGCAGTTAGGAGCACTGACTGTTCTTCCAGAGGACCCAGGTTCAATTCCCAGCATCCACATGACATTTCACAACTGTCTGTAACTCCAGTTCCAGGAGACCTGACACCCTCACACAGACATACAGGCAGGCAAAACACCAATGCACATATTAAATTATTATTTAAATATATAAACCTTAGGACTGAGATTGTATCCACAGAGCCTAAATTTAATCTTTAGTGTCACACACACAGAGACACACAGACACACACACACCCCAACCACACTTCTGGAAATTGTGTGCTTACAGAATGAGTGAAACAAGAAAGAAACACAGACAAGTGTCACTTACATGTGGCTTCATGCTGTAGTGGGTCCACTCTAAGAGATTGAGATCTGTATTTCTTTTGGTCTTACTTTCATCCTGCAAATACTGACTAAAGAAAACAAAAACAAATAATGAATGTATCACTGAAGGCCCAGGAGACCACTCTCTGTGATTAAAAAGGACTTGGTGATGTTCAGCAGGGATGTCATTCTCAAATCTGGATCTACTGGCCTTTTAGAAATGTAATATTTTGATTTTGAGTTTTAGGTTTTCCTTTCCTGCTAGTAAAAATTAATTAAATAAAAAAAATTAAGTAAGTAAGCAAAGAAATAACACCAGATGTGTAAACCCCAATGCATTAATGAGGAACAGAAAAAAAAAATCAAGACAGCAGAACTCCTCTAGAAATGATTAACCATACGGTAATGGTATCTAGTGAGAGTGAGCTACATGAAATCCCAGAAAATTCAAGAGAATGATAACAAACGTCTTCAAGAACACAAACAGATGAATAAAATAAAGGTGATGGATGTTATGAAAGAAAAAGAAAATCAACAAAGAGACACTGAAGAAAGCCAAACAGAAATGCTGGCAAGTCAAAATTTAAAACTGTGGGAGTCTCAGCAACAGAACAAGTCAAGAAGAGGACAGAAGAGAAATGAAACAATCCCACAAGGCTAAAGATCAAACAATAAAAAGGTACTGGTGGGAAGTACAAGATATATGTGACATTCTGAAAAGATCCAATTTATGGATTATAAGGATAGAAGGAGAAATCTCATTCTAAAGACACAGAGGCCATTTTCAAAAGAATCACAACAGAAAATTTCCTAGCGTTAGGAAAACAAATGCCAACCTTGATACAGGAGGCATATAGCATTGAACAAACCAGAAAAGTCCCTCCCTGGTCACGTTACAGTTAGAACGCTACAGACATAGACAGGAAGTATACTGAAGGTGGGCGGCAAGAGGGAACACCAAGCCGCAGCCCATCTGAGTAACTGTGGGAGCCCACAGAGGCTTCCTTAGTGAGAACTTACTCAGGATCAGAGAGTCTGAGCTGCTTCACCCAGCAGGGCTGCATGATGGGATGATTTCACCACGGGTGTGATTACACTTGGCTGGACGGTGTGCTTTGATCTTGCAAGCAGGTGGTCTTTTGCTTGGCCCATGGCATGTTATAAAAGCCCTTTTCAATGAAGGACAAGGCTGGTGGGTATTGACCAGGCCCTCCCGAAGCTATCCTGTGTTTCTGTCTTTCTTCTTGTCATCTAGGTCTCTCTTTCCATCTGACATTCCTTAATTCCTCTCTCCTCTACCTAAGAACCCTTCAAAAGGTAGGAGCTGGACCCCCCCAAATAATATCGATTAATCAACAAATTTTAAAATCCAGAAAGGCTTGGGATATTTTATCAAGTTCTGAAAGTTAACTGCCAGTGTGGAATAATATACACAGGCAAAGTTACTTGACATCATTGAAGGAAAAATAAAAAATTCTGATAAAGATAAAAGTAATTTATGACTATACCAAGCCAACTCTGCAGGTGATAGTTAAAGGGATCCTGACTAAAGAGAGAAAAAAAATCTACCCATGAGGCTCAGGCCAGATGAACCATGCTAGAATTAAATACTAAGGAAGGACAACCCCAAACAGTACAAAACAAATAAAATGGCAGGAATTCGATACCCTGGTTTAGTCTTAACAAACCTAGGAAAACAGAAGTAATTCCTTGTATCCTATTCATCACAATGGAATATGTCTACAGGTGAACATCAAGAGAAACCCTAAGGCACACACAACTGATGTTGATGAAGCCAGTGGAATATGTCTACAGGTGAACATCAAGAGAAACCCTAAGGCACACAC